TCAGGCTTAAAATCAACAATACATTTTTAAAGCACACATATGAAAACCAGATTGCAGTCCCATAACTGGAAATCATTATATTGTATCATACAATTAACAATGCCCAAATCTAAAGTCTAAATCTAAATACAGTTCTTTCTAAACAAAGAGATGACAGAATTAGTCATATGAAGGACTTGCTCAGAAAGGAGCCCAGTATAATTGCTATAAACTCCACAACATTCATGTAAGTTAGACTTAGAAGAGTGGCTTTTAACGCCAGAAAAAAATTGCCTACTTCCTCCCGATTGTGAAAGTAAACTTGGCAGCAGGAACTGAGCAAGGTAGTTTGATTCAGCAAAAAAGCCTTCGATAATAACTTAAACTGACCACATTATTGTACTAGTTAAACATTAAGCTCTTTAAGTTAGAGATCTGCATCTTACTTTTCTATTAAGTGGCTGAAGTCATAGTTCGTATGAATTTAGACCCCGTTCACTCAAATATGCAGGACCACCTGGCTAAAAACTCTGATTATACCCTAACCACTATACCACTCAAACCCCAACATACCTACTTCCTGAATACAGACAGTTTGAGAAAAGGACAGTAAAAAGATCCCAAATGTTATGCAGAACTAACTGAGGTATAAGAAGATGTCAGATACCCTTAATTCTGGCAAAATTACACCAACTAAGGAACAAAATGACAAGGAAGAGCTTTTATGCCAAGTTCTACAGAACCTGCAACCTTGGAGAAAGAGTTGCTAAGGTATCTCAAAGCTATCCACACTCCTCCTTGCTTCAGGTCTGCTTGGGGAAGCCCACCACCTTTCCAAGAAATCTCAACCTGCAAAATATGACACCCTTCTTAGTGCTGCATCATAAGCTCCAGTCAGGACCAGAGCTTACATGAACATTATTCTGTCCCAGCTATGCCTCCATTGTTTCCAGCCTTGACCAACTTGTGCCAGGACAAGTGTTTTAAGGTGCTCTTTTCTAGTGTAAAAAAGTCAGAATTGGGTTTAAACTCTCATACCAGGGACCCAAATGTCTCCTTAAATGTTTTATATATTCCACAAATTATTAAATAATGACTACAGCCTGGAAAGCTCAGCCTTGGACACAGTACTCATTCTTCATTTTACAAAGCAGCTTCCAGGTCACCTCAAACAGCACTGAGAGCAAAAGCAAGTCATATGACACATACAAATTTTGTGCATTTAACCACACCACTTGCCAGCCTGAATATTGGTATAAGACACATAGGCACAGCTGAACACCTGTTTTAGTCATTGACACCTATTTTATTCATTGCCTCCCTCATCTTCAGCAAAATCAAGACAAGACTCTAGTGTTCCTAATCACCAATCTTTTACTCTGCTGTCATGTCAAGCCCACAGCTGCGTATTTTCCTGGCAACTGTGAATCAACTCCCACTTTGATGATTGATTCACAGACCAGAATAAGATGTGCTTACAAGAATTATTCTATTAACAACTTAAAACCAATCTGCTATCCCCAGCTGCTTGTTCCCCCGCAACATCCCTCCAGAGGTTGTGGCACTGTCAGTTATATTAGTTAGTTACACTAACATGCCCCAGTCCAGATTTAGGGAAGTATCCAGGCTAAAAAATTACTTCTGGCTTAGTTTTTTCTGTTAGGCAAATCATTTAGTTGCGACAATGAGAAGAATAAGTAGAATAATGTTCCCGCTTGCAGACACAAAATGACTAGCAATTCAGGCATATGCCAATGATTTTAAAGGCATCTATGTGCCTCAGTGATTTTGTGCCAAATAATAAAAATAAATATAAACCTGTTAATACGGCTGGGGCACAGCTCAGCAGAACAGATTTCAACTGCTGTAGAAGGCTCGTACTGAGGAGTTCCCTGAGCTGGAGAAGAGCCTAGAAGTTATTAAAATAGCTCACGTTTTTGTTCTTTTAGTAAGGAAACACAATTTCTTGGCCAAAACATAAACATGATACCCTGAGTGGGTCATCTGTGGAGATTAACCTATAAGCACCCAGAGCAGACGTGCGAGACAGAACACGTAACCCATCAGGCATACGCTGCCTCGAGGACCGAGCAGGTACACAAACGTGCTTGCCTTCGCACAGGTGACAGGGGGTTTTGACAGAACCAGAAATTAATGTGAAGGATAATGTAGACTACTCCAAAAGCTGCTCTCCAGCTGTCTGGTTATGCGATCCCCATTAAATACATATGGCAAATTGGTCCTGGCACACTTAATTCCACCAGCTTTTGAATGAGTAACCGCTAGGGAAAACTTTTACAGACTTCTGTATTTCAGAAGAACTGACATACCAGAGAATTATAAGACTTGAAATAGTCACATCTTCCCCCCACACCACATTAAAGGAAGCAACCCACAAAACCTGTGAAGAAAACAATCACATGGTTGAACGGCTAAGTGTGCCTTTGAACATATCCCACTTTTTCAAAACCTTGATTGAAAGTGCTATTGGCAGCTGTGCTGTAAGCACATAAATGTGGTAAAGAATGATTAGAAATTACCCATTCTCTTTCTCCCAAAACTATTTCTGTATTAGTAGGGATATAGATAGAACAAGTTATAACAGAAGCAACTCCACTAACAGTGGAGTTAAGCAGCAGAAACAGTTTCTGGCCACGTGAGTATTTTGACTAATCAGATAAATACTTTCATAAGACATACATACAACACCGGAGCATATTTATAGTTTCCACAATTCTGAAAATGGCTACTGTGTTCTTGGAAAGTAATATTAATCCACACATACAGATTAAGATACTCTTGCATTGTAAACACGGTATTGTTCTCAAATTTGCTGGGGAAATGTTAACACACTCGCAACTTCTTAATTAGTGTGACCTTATGGAGTACATACTGAAAAGATGACAAAAGGAGGAGCTTTCTGGGGATCATTTTTCTCTCAAAATCTACTGAAAATGCACACAGCAAGTAAATGTTAAAATTTTTGGCAGCAATTTACAAAAACAGAAAATCCAACTCTGCCCTGAGACCTTACCTAAAATTTTATTCTAAGAGTCCACTTTCACACACATAGTATAGTGACAGTATGTGTGTCCATACAAATGGAAAAGAGAAACAAATGCAACATTACTAAATTTATAATGCATATCTTACTGCAAAACACAATAACTGCAGAGCATAGCCAAGTGTGCAAGACAAGCAATTCCTATAGCTCAACTTGATTTTAAAATTGTAATTTCATTTGTCTGCAAAAGCTTGAGTGATGTTTTGGTGATAAATTTTTAATAGTTTATAACAATTTCTCTTTCCATTTTTGGCTAATTCAAAGTCTAGACTTCACAAAGCTTACGATTAAGTCAACTTTTTAGATCCACAAATTTATTTTCTTATCTTTGTATTTACACTATAAAAATGGTAGAATATATACATGCAGGTTTTCCAGTATGAATGCCAATAAACAGATGATGTTATTTAGTTTCTTCCATACTTCCAGGGTCATAATGAAAAATTACTCATGTTTACTTCCAAATAACCAACTGTTGTAACTATCATTTCCCCAAAGTTTTGTTAATCCCTTCCATTCAGCTCTTCCAGAAAAAACATACAGAAATCACCCCAAATTAACATCCCAGCTTTGACAAAAGTCTCCAACGAAACTCATGATTTTCCTCACAGCTAAAACAAGTTGAGAATGCTAACTACAAGTTCTAAACCAGTGGAAGTCACTACTTTACAGTGAGGCAATATCTTATCCTATAGAGTGTGGTAAAAGGGGCAGACACTACATATGAATCTGCATGAAGGCCAAGAGATCCCATTGCCAAGTTATAACCATGATCAGAGCAATAACATGAGAGAAAAGGATATAACCCCCCCCCAACAACATCTGTCAGTTTTGAAAGACAACCCTGCAAGTTCATGATTTGCATTTTACCACTATACTGAGAAACAGGCAAGTAGTGACCATAAAATCTGACTAATAACATATCTGAAAATCAATTGAAAAGTTACATTAATTCACACTTACGAAATCATATTTTGAAAAATATATGGCTCAATTATTAAGAACACCAGCACTACCAGGAACTTGCACGATACACAGAATCACATTCATTACAATAGATGAAGGTACCTACAAAGCAGCTCTTTATCACTCATTAAAAATGAGAAGCAGTCAGAGCTTCATCTCATTCTTCTAATATTATCTTCTGAGGTAGGAAATGAAAACAAATTAATCCAGCAGCCAGGCCTTCTGTATACAGAAGCAACAGCAGAGCTTCTGAAGAAATGGGGTTTCCATACCACCTGATTCTTGCAAGAGAATGCAGATAATTGACTGGGAAAATCTTGTTTCATGAGCTTTATTTAACTTGAGAGTCCCTTTCATAAAGAAGAGGGGTTGGGGGGAGTCATCAGTTACCCTGCCAGAGTAGCCCCAAGAGAATAAGGCAATCTTAGTTTTATTTAAAACAAGGTTACAATTTTCTTTTTAATTACTTATGACTCAAATAGCTCTGAAAGGATCAATATTTCAGAGGCAAGATCAAAAATAAACCAGATGGATATTAGAAAACATTTTAACGCAATCTAAATGAGGCTCCGCACATTTCATTAGGTAAGAAATTCAAAGCATTTCTTTCTCATCATCAAACCTTTTCTATTTCATACAATGCAGAATTTTAGTCTACCTCATTACAAGCAGTGCATGAGTTTTTCAAGAAAGTAATTTTTTCCTGAAATGCCAAGTCTTAAGTTAACTTTGTTTTCCTTCAACCAAATTAATTTCTATTCCCCAAACAAGACTTCATACTTGTAATCAGATACAAAGTTAAATAACACTGAAGAAAACTGGTTTCTGCTGTTCAATCTTATTTTACAAATAAGTACCACATATACAAGAAATCCTCCTACTTCTCATTTCAACAGTAATATCTTACAGAACTGAACTCTTGTTTTGGATCACTCTTTGCACATTCTTCATTTAAGTAGAGTACATTTTTAATACAACATAAAGCACTTACCCTTCTAACCTGACATCAGGTAAAGACCTGTTGAGTGCAATCATTTCACTTGCCATTAAATTAAATTGATTTATTTTAAACATTTCTTTCATTTTTTCTTGCTCCTCTTTCGGAATGACCACAGGCTTCCCCATCTCGCCAGGTCCTTCATGTGGTTTTTGTATGGGTTCTGGAACTAAGAATAAATAAAATGTTGGTAACTACTTTTATGCTTGCTTTTGTTTGTTTACTTTATACTGTAAGAGTGTTCCTGTTTCAAACAGAGTTCTAAACCCATCAGGTTTTGGAAGTGAAAACAAATCTTCATATGTGGGAGTTTAACAGAAGTATTTAAGTGCTACTCTTAGACACCACAATTCATTTGAAAAAACATTAAGGGTTTATATCTATCCATCATCATGTCCTAATTGACTTTACTGTTAAAGTTCTGGAACAACAGACATTTATATCCCAGATTATTCTTGCACACACAAGCTTTTCAGGAAAAGTTGAATTTTCCTTTACAGGGATTTTAGTAAAGATTAAATTAAAGTAAAATTGTAACTTTACATTCATTTCCACATCTTTATTTTGACAGAATGACATCGGCATTTACAGTTCAGAAATAATTTCTCCTGGTTTTACTAACATTATTTTTAGTCAACATAATTACATTTTGGAGTTTAATGTTAGTACTTGAAACAGAAACAGTAACACTTGACATGTTTTAACCAAAGAAATCTTAAATATCAAATATCTGATCACACTGATGCGGGAGAGAGGGAGAAAAGGAATCCAGACTCTTGAATTATTTGAGTTTTTAAACAAAAGAAGTGAAAAAACAAAACATTAAAAAAAACTGTTACATTTTCGTTACAAATACCCATTTACTTTTCTCGTGAACTGAAATGTTTTAAATGCTCGAATACTGAATTTGAAATATATTACTACTTTACAAATTCAGTACAAAATTTAATTAAAGAAATAGTAATTTAAGATCTAAACAGAGGAACATAAAGTATTTTAAAATAAAGGCACCAAAGTCCTCAGTAATAAGCCTAGCTTCAAATTATCTTTAATTTGCATCTAGGACAGCACAGTGTAATTAAAGCTTATGGCAAGAGCAAATGGCCATGTAAAGAATAAAAATAAAATTTAAAAAAAAAGCCCAAGCCTTCCATCCTTGCTGAAACACTAAGACTTAAAATATATACTCAGTAATAAGTGAAACATTTTGCTAGTTTGCATTTAGCATTAATCGGTTGCAAGCACAATGTGTTCCTTGTGAAAGTTTCATTTTCAAGTACCTGAAGCAACTGCACTAGTTGCATTAACGTAGTAACATTTAGCAGAGAAAATTCTCCCACCACAGAGATGCTTTCTTTTTACTAAAATCCTCTTGACTGCAAGTTCAGCTAGAAGTTGCCAGCCAGCCACTCATACACAAAAAATTGACAGAATCAATGTGTCTAAGCAGATCCTGAGCAGACTGATTTAGGCAGTAGTTTTAACCATGGGCTAACATGAGCATGCAGTTTGCTTTGCATCTTTGCCTCCTAAGAAACTATGGTTGAACCCACATCAAAACTTAGTGATTTGCAATTGCATAACCTTTTAAACTAGAAGTTGTGCCTTTTGGGGGGTAATCAACATAAAATTGTGGTATACAATAAGGCAATTATTTGGGCTTAATTTTATATAGTCAGCTTGGTTTTATTACGTAGGTTATTGTAACTATTTTTATTAAGTGTATAGTGATTAATATATAGGTTCACTTGGACAGAAAATGATTAAATGATGAGTGTTCAACATACCTAAAAAGATTAAACAAAAGCTATCAGAATATAGTTATATGTTAAAAAAATAATTATTCACCATGTTTTTCAGCATTCTCAAGAGTGAATGTCTTATTCTACCAAATTTGCTGTTTAGAAGAAAAAATAATTTCCTGTTTCATTTACACTTCCAGTTGTTTCTTAACTTTGACTAAACCAGTTAAACTGAATAGCTAAACTAACTGAAAACTATCTTTCACATTTGTAGATCTTGCTGTTAGATGCTAGTTTAGCACATCAGTGAGTTGGATCCAGGTGTACAAAATCCACATATTCATCAGTTGAATTTTTAAATTTCATTAGCAAATATATACTACTTGATTACACATTTTACCTAAATAAAGTACTCCCTTCTCCCGCAGAAGAATCCAGCAACAGCTAACTAGATCCACAGATATTTTATGGAACTCACTAAATGCAAAGACAGGCAAGCTTGATGTGCAAGCACAGAGATGACTTTCCAAGAAGAGTTAACCGTCTTCTCTCAGGTTTCTGCATTTACAGCAATCTGTTTTCCCACAAAAGCATGTAGTTTTCATATAAACACAAACCAACAACATTCTCCCAAAATGACTAATACACATTGTTAAAAATTCAAACTGCAGTACTCTTTTGTCAGTTAACTATGAAAAAAATATTTCCTTTGAAGGTCTGTAGACATGTACTGATGACATACTTCTAACAAACAGTAATTTAATTTACAGCTAAAAGTTTCAGAGCTAAATGAATGACTTAATCATCACCTGATCCAACAGGAAATCTAGTAATGTTTTTCCAGACATTTCTCACTTGTATCAGTAAACCATTATTTTCAAAGAGGGCTTGATCTTTTCCAGATCTTCGTTAAAAGTCAGGAACTCTTTATGGACTGTGGACTACAAATTCCTTTTTACCAGGCAATATGCTTGATGAAAAACAGATACTTCAAAACCTAAGACCATCTAAAGCCAGAAAGAGGAATGGATTCTTCCCTGACATGTCTTTAGGGGCCACAACAACGGTAAACTGACCAAAACACTTTGGAAGAACCACCACAACTACAAGAAAGCTGTTTTGACAGGTAAAAGTTCAGAGACATTTTGTCTCTCACACACCCCTCAGCCTTAATAGAACAAGACTGATGTACGATGAACAGTTCCTATTTTCAAAAATTAAATCTGTGTTTTGTATCTTGAACCTGCTCACTTTTCTTCTTAGGAATTTTTTATGCAGATGAGAATATTCAGAACTGAGTCACAACTTTGATATTCCATCTTTACCAGAGTTCAAAATTCAGAACACAAGGCCTTGACTGGCACTTGACAAAAATGACTGGTCCTAGTTTAAATTTGTATGGCCCCAAGAAAAGATTGTAAATAGCTGAGATCACAAGACTCTCGCAATACCAATCCTAGGTCTGAAAGATTTTTTTTTTTTTTTTTTTGCAGGGCTTCTAATCATTACACAAGTGGAATGCCCCTTGAGGGAAAAAAAGGGAAAATGTTTGGAAGTTTATTTAGAAACTGCTTCAAGTGCCAAAGCTGGAAGTTCCTTTGCAGTCATACCTTTAAGAAGCCTAGAACTGGGGTAAGGAAGGACTCATTTGATCTTCATTTAAGTCAAGACCTCAGAGCAGACATACAGGATTCTTACAGAAATAAGACAGAGCTACACAAAAGAATCTTTATTAGTAAAACCACAAGACAACCTGGGCATTTTTTGTTTACAGGAATGTTCCCTTTTTGTATTGTCAGAGAACAGCTTGAATCCTTTCTTTAAGTCTAGAACTTGTTTACACTTATCAGTAAGTTCCAGGCTGTGAAATCTGAATTGCAATGCTGAATCCCCATCTGGAAACAACAGTGCTCAACTAGATATCCTATGAATTTCAGGTTTGGAAAAAACTACTACATAACATGGATGATGCTTACTAAGGTTCAGTGATTTTCTTTCCAACTCATAACAACCTTTAAACTTACAGCAACAACCCTCCATCATCAGCTATTACTCTTTGAGAATCTGACTGATGAACCATCCGTAATTACAAAAAGGGAACCACCATCCAGAAGATGTGCCAATCGAAGGAACAGCTGTGACAGTTTAGGCAAGGGGTGTACACTATCCAGGTCAGCTGGGTAGCTCAGAATAGGTGAGAGAACCTCAGAGCTGAGCACTGGACAAGCTTTCCCCAACCTACTCCCCCCTCTCTGGAGCGGTCATGGTGGGGAGAAGAAAGAGCAGCAGTATCAGGCAGGACAAGCACAGGCTCCCTCCCAGCTCCCATGGATTGATGCTGGAATCATTGGTTGGTGTTCTGACCCTACTTCCCCGGGCTACCTCCTGAAGCTACTACTGTCTTCTTCCGCCGTGGTGGAAGGGGTGGGCAAAGGCTTAAGCCTACAGCCAAATCATCCCACACAATTACAGTCACTAGATTCCAACTATCCCTCCTCTGGTATCACTTTAGTTCCCCAGTGCGATACTACCTAGACACCATGCCAGGCCCCCTTTTCCCAAACATCTCCACCCCAGCTCTCTTACTCACAGCCTAGCAAGTGCCTGTCCCTCTTCCACTTCACCTTTTGTCCCCTCACCTCCACACTCGCATCATTTCAATGACCAGCCCTCAATCTCTGTGAGAGCAGACACAAAGACTTTTATCCCACTCATCTTACAGTTCCCCATAATCATGTACACAGATTTTTCCACAGATTCATATTCCTTTATTATTTCTTATTCTGAGCAATTTGTAAAATATAACAGCGGTATACATACAATCCAATATTAGACACATAAGCTGAAGCTCATGATTTAAGATGCTAGTATCTTATGCCGTCAATACCAAGGAGAAAGATTTTTCCCAAAAGGAAAAAATTTAGACCATGGCTCTAAGTCTCATTCTGAAAAAGAAACTCTCTCTATTTTCTGTATTAAAAACCTAAGGAAAGCACCCTTCTAACTTTATGAAAGCCTGAACTGTCCAAAATTATCCTCAAAATCCTTTGTTCCTGCTG